ACACATTATTGTCACGTCACGCCGTGACCATCTTATATATACTAGACACCCCCCCAATCTAGTAAATGCTAGAGCACTCCCGAAGGAACGGGATAGTTCTAGAAAGCAGGTGGCATGACACTAGTCACGTGACCTCGCTGACGCAACAATACCAACATCTATTAAAAATTAAAATAAGGAAAAGAATTATAAAAAGGGAAATTGTGAAATGGCTAATAACTGATTTAACTATGAATTGGTTAGAAAATTTACTTAACAATGATAAGTAGTAAAGAGAATGCTGTTGTACTTCTCTGTTAATTATTATTAGTGTTTCTTCCTGGACTGACTTCAGTCACTCCCACACAATTTCTTATGTGGTATACATGTCTCAAGGTTTTTTTTAACAAGTGTATTAAATGTCATATATTGTAAAATTATTTTATATCTCATAAGTTATACACTTTTTTTTGTAACTTATATGTTATCTTTAATTTATATAAATAATATATAATTCTCAATAAGTATGAAATTCAATTTATATCATTCATATTGCAATACAAGTCCCAAGTTTTGTTTAGCAAATTTCATAAAACTGAAAGAAAATAATTACAACCAACTTTTGTGCCTTACTGATCTTGTTTATTATTTGCCATTTATATGAATAAATATATATATATATATTATCATTTCCATTTATTAGCCAAAATAGTTGTTACAATACATACAAATTCCAGCATGCATCTGTTTGTTTTATAATTGAAAATAAAAGTCTGGTAGGATAGGCAGAAGCTCCTGCATGAATATACTGTACATACTTTTCTATGTCTATCGTAAAAGACTTGATTTGGAAATTATTAATCAGTACTTTGCCCTAGTGGAAACTGATTTATAGATTTATGGCCTCAATATTTTTATGAAATGACTACTTTATGCTAACAGGTTTAATAATTGCAATTATATATATATTTATAAATGCAGTATTAGTCTAAATATTTCATGAAATGGGGAGTTTGGGTATTAACTTGTTTGTAATTGTGAAGATTGAAACATGAGCTAAACTGGCAAACTACCAATTTTCAGTGGTATTACACTAACTATGATATGCCAAAAAATGTCAAAATATAGTTTGATAAATTCCATTCCACTGCAACGTTATAACAGTTATGCTTGTCACATGACTAGCTGA